TTGCAAGTATACCTACCTAACTCTCGAGCGTAAATTCGGGCAGCATGCCCTTTGTATTTACCTAATTTCCAGCCATTTATGGCTTAATTCTTTTTCTCAATCAATCCCAAAGTCATACACAATATAAGCTCATCACAATAGCCATTTAATAGGCTCAAAGTCATTCAAGCACAAGATTTAGCTACGAAAATGGCCGAACATAAGTTTTAAGCTAAGAAACCAAAAAGGCAGATTTACCGATACTTAGCGTGTCGGACACAACCGAAGCTACGCTTATTGGATTGAAGTGATATTTATACCATTTCAAAGCTAAGACAGAGGGATATAACTTTGATGAAGATCACTTAGTCCAAATTTCAGTTTAACCCAGTCAAATTTTCAATTTATAGAACCGGATTCCTACCAACAGGCTGGTTAACCGCACTACATTCAAATGGCCAAATCTCAAGCTACCGAAGTCCCTTTAAGGCATTCTTAGAGGTGTTGGAAAGCTAATACATAGCACTACAACTTTTATGTTTTGGTTAAAAGCTAGTTCAGTACGTATCAAGGTGAACAGATACGATCAGATTGATGAAATGTTGAGACTGTCCACTGGACTAAACCTATGGTAGTTAGGGGTATTTTTTTTCTTTTCAGAGGATACATTGCTCTGATTGAGCTGAAATTTTGTAGAAAACTATAAAACATCATTCTCTACAACTTTCATGTTTTATTCTAAGCCTAATTCGGCCTCTAACATAGGGAACTAGAACCGGGCAGAACTGAAGCATACAATTCCCAGAAATCTGGAATTTTGATACATTCAAGCTATAATTCACATTTCTACCTTAAAACCACCACTACTTTCTCCTTTACAAGATTATATACCATATATATACACCATATAACACCTAACCAACAAGAATTATACGTAAATCAATCAAAATCTTAACTTAAAATTCATCACTCCAATCATCAAAACCACTTGAAATAGGCATCACAAGCACAATTCTAAACTTAATACCCAACTTAATCATGAGTAATGGAGAAAAAAAGGTTGATCAGCCATTATATCTCAAGACAAGAGCTTTTAAGAATGATCCTCCACTTTTGCTTGAAATTTTTGGTTCCTTAGGCTTCCCAAACTTCCAAACTAGTGATTAATCGGTTTAGTTTTTCTTGTTTGCACTCAATCAAGCAAAAGCCCAAGATGGATTGAAGCTCTCTTTCTCTTGTTTTTTCCCTCCAAAGCCACGACCAAGACCAGCAAGAAATGAAGAGAAATCATCTAAGAAGAAAGATAAGAAGGTAGGAATTAAGTTGGTCAAACAACCATGGAATGGTTGCCACTTGTCGCGATGAGATTAGCTTTTAAAATTTTCTTTTCTCTCTCTTATTTTGGTCCACAATTTTGGTTGGCTTAAGGAGATATTTAGGTATGATTTTGTTCAATTAATAACAAGGAGATTAGGGTAATAAAGTAGTGGTCAAGTGGTGCACTCAATCGGTAACGAACGGTACACTTCGGTTCAACTCGATTTTCCTTATTTCGTACGTACTAGGGTTTTCACTTATAATTCACTATCTTATGGTTATTACTTCTAATCAAATACTTAATATCATCTAAAACTCACTCTAAATCACCAAATCGAGTACACACTCCATACCGATTACTTACTCTATGAAAAGACGTGAAAATCCTAGTTCGCACTAATTTGAAATTGAAAAGGGAAGACCCTTATTTTTATATTCATTTACACTTATTGTGGGGTGATTGGGTAGTAGGGCCATTATAAATGAATAATTTCCAAATAAAAGGGCATTTTTAAGAAAAATATAAAGAATTGTACGGGTCCTCACAGAGTCCACCATTTTCAATTTAAAATTCTCTATCTAGTCCTTTATCGTGAGTTTTCTTAATGTCATTGACTTCCTACTAAGGGCATTTGCTACCTTATTTGCTTTGTCCGAGTGGTAATTGATTGTCAAATCATAATTCTTAATTAATTCTAATTATCTTCTCTATCTCATATTTAACTCCCTTTGAGTAAATAGATACTTGAGACTTTTATGATCGGTAAAAATCACACATTGCACTCTTGGGTGTTGACATGGCCCCCCTATCCACTGTCCACGTAATGCCTCCATATTTTCAATGCAAAAACTACTGCCGCCAATTTCAAATCATGTGTTGACTAATTTTGCTTGTAGGGTTTTAATTGGCGAGAAGCATAAGCGATTACTCTCCTATTTTACATCAAAACACATCCTAAACCATTTTTAGAGGTATCTCTATAGATCACAAACCCTTTCGTTCCAGAGGGTATGGTAATACCTATCGATACAATATAAGGTAGATTTGAGACAAATTGAGTATTTGTTCTTTATTATAATTCGATTCAATTCCCTATAATCGATACACAATTTCAGACTACCATTTTTCTTCTTCACAAAGAGTACTGGTGCACCTCAAGGAGAAACACTAGGTCTAATGAATTTCTTATATAATAATTCCTGTAATTGCTCCTTGGGTTCTTTTAATTCTGCAGACGCCATTCTATAGGAGACCTTAGATATAAGAGTCGCCTCTGAAATAATATTTATTTCAAATTCTATTTCTCTATCCAGAGGTAGACTAGGAAGGTCGTTTGGAAATACGTTAGGAAAGTCTTTCACCACTAGAATCTTTTCTAAAGGCGTTCCCTCCTTCTCCATATCTGCCACATAAATCAAATATACCTCACATCCTTTTCTTATTGCCCTATTAGTCTGCATAGCAGATAGAAGTGGTAACTTATGAATTTTTCTAACACTACTATTTTCTTGATAAGAGTAATCTTTCTCATGTGGTTTCATGAATAACTCTTTTCCCCTCATAATCAATGCATGAAAAATGTCTAACTAGGCAATGCATTCCTAGAATGACGCCAAAATCACTCATGTTTATCTGTACTAAATCCATTTCTAATTTCCTATCTTTCAATTTCACATTACAGTTTGGATATTTAGTATGGGATACTAGTATTCTATTTCCTAGAGTAGCTACTCGGTAAGGGTGGTACGTCCATTCAGGAGACATACACAAATACTTTGCTAATTTCTTAAAAATAAAAGAGTGACTAGTTCCACAATAAAATAGTACATATGTAGGCACAATATTGATTAGAAGGGTACCTGTGATTACGTCGCTTGATGCCTCCGCCTCAACGTCAGTCTTGACATGCATCCTCGTGTTAACTTTTGGTTTCTTATCAGTTGAATTGCCACTCTTATCCCCTTCTACCTTCTTATTTGGACAATTCATAACTCTATGTCCTTGTTGTCCACACTCAAAACAAGCTTCTGTCCCAACTTGGCACTCCCCTCGGTGCATCTTCGCATAAGTCTTACACATGAGAAAAGTCGTTCTAACTTGACAGTCTTCCTGATACATCTCTCTGCAAGTTTTACACATAGGGAAGGTGTTTCCTCCAGTTGTCCTCGGAGGTGGCCCATGACTTTTCTTCACTAAGTGGAACTGTCTGCCAGGCTTTAGTGTTCCTGACACTACAAGTTCATTCTCTAGTCTAGGTCTTTTTTTCCTAACCTCCTCATCTAACCTTTTGCAATATGCCTTAACTTTAAATCTAGAATCCAACACATCGTAAAACGTAGGGGTGTAAGAGGTGTTCACCCTTGTCTGAATTCTACTTGACAATCCCCATATGAATTTGTACGTCTTCAACTCTACATCTATCATTGTTGACAGGACAAACCTTCCTAGCGCCGTGAATTTATTCGAGTACTGTACCACAGACATCCCCGGTATTTGTTTCAAATTTTCAAACTGATCTATTTTTTGCATCCTCACAACAGGTGAACAAAAGTACTTTAAGAACTCTCAAAATTTCGTCCAATGTTACTGGTGAGGCGATAGTAGGTTCCAGAGTTGCCTACCACTTGTTGGTCTCTCCTACTAAAAAGGGTTTGATGATTTGATGTTTCATTTGCTCCGGTACTTGCAAAAATGTAAAATTATTTTCCATCTCATCAAACCACTTTTCTGCCAAATTCGGGTCAGAAGTCTAATCAAAAGTGGGGACATAGACCCTTTTCATTTTCTCATAATAGGATTGAGTTCTTCCCTATCCATAATTTTGGGATTGGACAATCTGAATCTGTGCTAACTATGCTTGGGCTTGTAAAGCCTGTGCTACCCCAATTCGTGTGTAGACACCAAAATTTCATTTATTTAATTCAATTTGAGCTTTATTTATTCTCGTTTTATTTTATTTTATTTTAATTGATTAAATGATAGTTAGTGTTTATTTTTACTTATTTTTATGAATTAGGTTCATGATTTTTATTTTTAAGATATTTTGGCATTAAAATCTTGAAAAGGAAAATTTGCATAAAAATATGTTTTAATTCTCTTAGATCAATTTCGTTAAAATAAATGAAAATTTTGCAATGTATTTTGCAATTAGAAATTAACATTTTTGTTTACCTAAATTGATTTTGAAAAAAAAATATAATAAATAAATAAAAATAAGAAGATAGGTCGGGCTTGCATGTTAAACAAGTGTGTTAGGGGAGCATTAGACAAGTGTTAGTGCATGCAAATAGGATAAGTATCCTCATTTTGTTGAGACCACATGCAAGGAGGGGGTAGGTGGCAAGACACTTGGAAGCCTAGGAAAATTTGGAAACACAAAGCAAAGACAAAAAGCAAGAAAGAAGGCTACGGGAACCTGGAGGAGAAAGGAAGCAAAAGAAAAACAAAAAAGGCTTGGCGGCTGGGGGGTTGAGGGAGAAATAGAGGAACCAGAGAAAAAGAAAAGGGCTACGGGCTGTGGGCAAGAAACGAGAGAGCAAGGCAAGAAGCAAAAAGAAAGAGACGGCTAGAGAGAGTAGGGGAGAATCGGGACAGCAAGGAGACTGAGAGGAAAAGGGAGAAATCTGGAAAAAGAGGGAAAAAACCAAGGAAAGAGCTGTGGGGAAGAGAAGAAAGAAAGAGCGGAGAGAGTGAGAGAGTGAGAATGGAGGTGATGAAGCCCAGTTCAGTCTCCGCCTACTCTGCTCAGACTCTTCTTCCTCTTCACCTCAAATGAAAGTCATCAAAGCCATTCAATCCCATCAACCTCAAGCCCTCTTCTCCTAATTCATTCCTTTCCCCCTATAAATTCAAAGCCTTTTGCCATTTCGTCACTGTTGCCTCATCTGAGCCGTCTCCAGTTGTCCATTCCACCGCTACCAATCAGTCCCGGAACGTTAGCTTTTCTGAGGAATCCGAAACTCAAATCCATGTTGAACAAGTCGGAAGCCCCTTCGTGGGTCCGTCAAATTTTGGATTTCCCAAGTTGAGTACAAGCGATCAGGCCTTCTCTCTCTTGCTTTTCATTGCTGTCACGACTACTGCATCACTGGTAGGCTTTCTTGCTGCAGCAATTCCCACCTTGTTTGCCATGCGTAGGGCAGCAATTTCTGTTGTAAAACTGGCTGATACTGCTCGTCAAGAGGCCCCTAGCACAATGGCTGCTATTAGGCTACTAGCTTGGAGATCAGTGATCTCACCTATGAATTGAAGGACTTGAGGAATCATCATCCGCTCTCTCTTGTTGCTTTAGCATCGTTCAAGATTCATTCTCAGGTAATCCTGATCCCTATCTATGTCGATTTAACACATTTTTACAAAAATTGGAGCCCATCATACGTGAAATGTTGAACTTTTGTTGCTGGGTTTATAAGCCATTCCCCTCCTTTGCTATGCTGGGTTTTTAGATAATTTTCTTCCTATATATTTCATGTTTTGTTGGTGAATATTTGATGTTGAATAATGGAGATAAAGTCATGAATTGCATGATCTTTTCAGCCTCCTGTTGCTTCGCGTAGTTAGTGAGCTAAAAGAAAAGAAACTTGCGAAGGAATGTTGCAGAAAAAGCTCTGGCCCGAAGCTTTGCATGCAAACTTTTAAAAAATTGCATGTTGACCCCTAGTTTTCTAAATAATGTTACTATGGCCCAGAAAATTGGAAAATTAATCAATTTTATCCCTTTAACATTTTTTTTTCTTTCTCTGATATGATTTAATGTGCTTTTTGGATAGATTTTTACTGAATTTTAGGATGAAATTTGAGGTTTAATAGTTTTTAAGAGATTTATGATTTTGATCTGGATTTTTAATGAAATTTTAGGTATTTTTGTTGTTTAATTGTAACAAATAGTTTTTCATTTATTTTTTGTGAATTTTAGTTTTTTTTTTGGTAGGTTTCATCTTAAGCCATTAATTTAAATTTATTTTAATTTAGATCCCTAATATTTGTAATAATAATAATTTGACCCCTCAAACTTCTTTCATTATTTCAATTGGGTTCTTGTTTGTTTTAATTTATTGAATATGGGTTTTTTTTTCATTTGAATGATTTGATTGATTCAATTTCATGTTTATTTCCATTTCTTGTTATTATTTGTCAATTAAAGTGATGCCTTGACCATTTTATTGTTTTGGAGGGTAAATAAGAAAATTGCATTTCATTAAACAATCAATTCAAGGGAGGTACACTCTACTCCTTTATTTTGATTTTATTTGACCCTATGTGTTCCTATGTGATTTCATGTGTGTAATTGCATGATTTTTCTTGAATTTTTTATTATTCTATTTATTTACTTTATTTATTTTAATTTTTGAATATTAATTTTAATTTAATTTATTTTCAATTATTTGAGAGGCAGTTAAATGCCAAATTGTAATAATTAGGTTATTATTTCATTTCATTTCATTCTTTCCCCTTTTAGATTGTAGTTAGGGTCCTCTAATGTAATAGTTAAGTTCCTGTTTGCTTTTATTTGCTTTGTGCGTTTTGCATGCTTGTGTGTTACGTGTTACTCGCTTTTTTAGGGCCTTGCATCTAAATATCATACTTATGTGCTATGTGTTTTATGTGATATTATATGTTTACTTGTTTTTATTATGTTTATATGAATAGTTTAGTTATAATTAATGCATGACGTCACCACACTAGTCCAACGCTAGTTGTGGCATTTTTTTTCCAATTCCACACTAGTCCAACGCTAGTTGTGGCCTCATTTTCCATTTCTCACTAGTCCAATGCTAGTGAAGACTTATAGACATGGGCTAGTCCAACACCAGACCCTTAGGAACCGTCCACGCGCTAGATCATGTTTGTGTGACGATCACTACATTTTCATGCATATTTTCTACTTTTCAGGGTTTTTACCATTTTGCATAACATTTTCCTTATATATATATATATATCCCTTATCCCATAACTCCCCTATATGTATATTTCTTATCCCTGTATGTGAGAGATGACATTAGACTTACATTCCATTGCAAAAATTTAAAACTAGGTTAGATCATTTGCTTGATTAGATAGGAGAAATTCCCCCTTAAATATGGGATATGGATGAGTATGATTTTTCTAGCCTTAGCACACTCGTATTCTCTCTATTAAAGGGAAAATTGAAATCACGAATATTAATTCCCCCCGCACCCATTATGATGCATTTCCTTAGGCCACGTATATTTATAAATTATTATTTCTTTCTTTTTTTTGAGTCTCATTTGTCGCAAACTTCGTGACCTCTTTAAAGAGTCACTTGTGGGTATCGCAATTAATGCGATTTGCACCAATCAAACTTTGAAGAGATATTTTGACCCCCTGACAACCATTAGATCTAGGTTTGCATCTATATAGTGACATCCAAATATGATAAATATTTAGGTTAAAAATAAGAAAATTTTTTGACTAAATCACTCAACTAGCCTTGGGTAGGTTGAAAGGGTGCTTTGAATTTATCCTTGCCTTTTCTTTCTTCAAATGTAACTCCCGATCCATTTTCTCTTGATTTTCGCAGACTTGGAGTTGTTTAAAAAGGGTTTTCTCTACTTTTTCTTTAAAAATTCATTTTAGGTGACTTGGTACACCTTAACTTAATACCAAACGGAGTCTCCTATTTTTCATTAAAACCCTTTTTAAACTATTATTTTTTGGTCAAAATCGTTGCACTTTTTAGTCACATTTAGGGCCATTTCTTTATTCATTTTTCTAAAAAACAAAAACTCATTTTTTCAAATAAAAAATTAATCAAAAATTCATTTTTAGAAACACTTTATTTTTCATTCAAAAATGGGGCGCGACATAGTGCAGTCACTAATTCTGCGGGTAACATCACGTAGGGTTGATGCCCACTTGGTCCAACCCCTTAGTAACTCATGTTCTGATTGTTGTTTTCAGGAAGTGGTTCTTGGTTATGGTTACCATAGTCGTACTCACCATGAGAACTACCATTTTGATTTTTGCCATGCCTAATGTTTGGTACCATTTCCTAAATCAAGCAAATAAGTTTCACACTAAAATGAGTATTTTATTCTTATTTATTATATATATATATATTTTAATACAACACATTAACTATTTGCACGTTTTATACACACTGCCCCATAAGACAAAATTTAAAGTAGAGAGATTTTATTCACCTACTCAAGATAAAAGAACAATCAACTTCTTACACATCAGAAATCAACTTCCTAACTTGTTCTAAAATTCCTAACGAATCTAGTATTCAAAATCCCTAATTATGTCCTACGATTAGATAGAGGAACTAATCAATATGAAAATTACCGAAACCAATGCACTAATCTTCTTGGAATAATACTCAATAACAATAAAAAAAATCTCTCCTATACCAACTCTATTACTTATTCGCTAGGGGGGAGGGTCAGCATACTCAACTACTCCATCTCCTACATCATCCTCAGCGCCATCTTGGTCCTCAACTCCATTTTTCACTGGGTGATTATCTATGGGTATGTCCTCTAGGGGTTCTTCCTCAGGATCCTCCTCCGGGTCATTGTCTAGTTCAATGTCACTATCAGGCCACAGGTGATTCCACCCAGGTATTTAAGATGTGAGTGGTAAGTGATCATCTATCCAATTCATCACGCGCTGCCTTCTCTCTTCATATTTCACCACTAAAGTATGGTACTCCGCATCCTGATTTTGGAGTAAGGAAGTCACTTCTTCAAATTTCTCATAGTACATATCGGTTAGTCCCTTCTGCATCCCCTTTTCTGCTTTCAACTTATTGACCTCCTCTTGTAGATGGAGGGTCTCCTCGCGCCAACCTTTCTTGCTTAGTCTAATGTGTTCCCTCGACACTATCTATGTAGAGATCTCGTGAATTTGGTCAGTTACTCGATCAGCCAACGCATGAGCCTTCCTAGCTCTGTTCGTGGCTCACTCTAATTCTTTGAGATACATGTCCCTATAGAACCTTAACCTCTTCCTAAGACGACTCACATCACATGAACTAGGCAGTCATAATCCTGATGCTCCCTGTTGTCGCGCCCCACTTTTTGATATTGGCGTGTGAGTAGTGTGTGTGGTGTGTGTGAACGTGTGTAGAAGTGAAAGAAAAGACCGTGGGATTGTGAAATGCGACGGTTTTGGTCAAATAAAGTTCAAAAGGGTTTTTTGTATGAAAAATGGAGTCGCCATTTGGTATAGAGTTAGGGTGTACCAAGTCACCCAAAAATGATTTTTTTAGTTTTTGAATGAAAAAGTAAACAAACCCTTTTTGAAAACTTTTAGGTCTACGTAACCAAAAAAGGGATCGGGGGTCACATTTGGTAAGGGAGAAGGCAAAGGCGAAGCCTAAGGCACTCCCATACCCTAGCCAAAGCTAGTTGCGTGACTTAGCCCCACGTTTCCTAATTTTCTACCCAAGGTATGTATCGCATGTTGGATATGACTATATGAATGCAAAAACCTAGACCTAGGGGGATATGGGGGAAATTTCTCTTCAAAAGGTTGAGTGGTGCCAATCACATTAATTATGAAGCCCAATAATAATCCTTTGGAGAGGTCACACATAATCCTAAATGACGTAAAAATGAGTGGAATGCATGCCATGTGAAAATGTTAGTTTGTGTGAAATGAGAAAAGTAATAAAAATAATAGTGGGTAAGTGGAAGTGTGCAAATGGATTTACAAAGTAAAATGAGTGAAGTAATAATGTGAAAATGTATGTGAGATAACATAAAGTGCATGTGTGCGAGTGATATTATAAAGTGTAAGTAGTCGAGTGAAAACGTGCAAGATTAAAGTAGTGTGAAGTGAGAATGTGGAAAAAGGGTTAGAATATAAAGTAGAAGTGTATGTGATAGCGAATGAGTAAAATGCATGAATTCTATAGGAATGCATCAAGATGGGAACGGGGAGTCCTAATTTTGTGACTTTAATTTTCCCTTTGATTAGAAGGGAGAACTAGCGTGCTAAGGCTATTTTGTAGCCAAACTCGCTCGTTTCCCTTATCGAAAGGGGACACTCAAGCAAATGTACCCTATAACTAGCATGAGATGCAAAAATCCTAAAATGAGGGGAAAAGGGGTTTGAGGAGCATGCCAAATGGTAAAAACTAAGGAAAATGCATGAAATGAAGTGAAACATGCAAGTATGGACTCACATGAGAAATCCCTAAGGGTCTAGCGTTGGACTAGCCCATTCTATGAATTCCTACTAGCGTTGGACTAGTGGAAACGTACATTCATCCATCACATTCAT